CTCCCACGAGATGTCCGGGTAATTGAAGTCACCCATGACTTATACTAGTGTTCTGGGAGTAAGAAGCAGCATTCACTTTAAGCTGCATGGCGTGAGTGCATTTGCGCAGCCACGCACACCGCACAACTTCGAGGGAATGCTGGTAGGGAGGGGTTTAATTAGAGCAGCTCTGAGTGCCTCTCTAATTAAAGCACCCAGAGCAACTTTTATACATCAGCATCCCTGTGCTTAAAAATGGCAGCGGGGATGCTTTATCTAAAGCTTGTCCAATGAGCCAATTAGATAAAGGGCCCCCGCTATCATTTTTAAGCACAGGGATGCTGATGCACAAGATGCTGGAGATTGTTGGAGAGTGGAAATTACCAAGGTCCAGCAGACTTGACTAATTACAGCACGTCGGAGCAGCCTCACTGCTCATGTACAGGTGCCCTTAGATTCTATATCATTAATAGTAGTATTCCAGATACTACACACATTATTATCCCCAAGGAGATTACAATCTTAATAAATAAGAAAAAGGGGAAAGAGGTAGACAGCCTCAGTGACCTCTCCAAGGTCATAGAGCAGGTGATACTGGAATGGACCCCAGATCTGAGTCATTAGGATACCCTCTACTAACTTCTCCCTTTTAAAGCATCATATAAAGTAGATTACTATAAATAAAGCTGTCATTAAAGATGTCACAACTTCATGGGTGCAGAGTGGCTCATAAAAGCCATGCTGCAAAACAAAACCTCAGATTAATTCCTTTTGAATACTATGCCTTTGTTCCTATGAGTTTGTTAAGATAAGCATTTGGAATGCAATGCAAAATTTAAATTAAAAAAACCCCCAAAAAACTAAAACCAGCCATGGCGACTCACTCCTCAGAAGGAGCAAGTCCAAACTGATGGCCTGATCTTGCAATACTGGCACAGTGAGCATTGCAATGTTTTCACCAAAAGCCAGTGATCCAAGTTTCTGCTGCCTGTAGACCAGGGGTGGGCATAATGCAGCCTTCGGGTCAGATGTGGCCTGCCAGACCATTCTATCTGGCCTGCAGGGATCCTAAAAAATTTAGAAAATTAATATTCATCTGCCCTGGACTGCCTGTCATGTGGCCCTCGATGGCTTGCCGAAACTCAGTAAGCGGCCCTCTGCCCAAAATAACTGCCCACCCCTGCTGTAGACACTCTGAAGCAGACTATGACAGATGCACAATACTTTATCATAGCATTTCCCCTGATAAATGTTCACAGTCAGTCAGTAAAAGGGAAAAGTTACTGAAGCAAATACAAATGCTCCCTAAGGAGAAATAAGTGATATTTTTTAGCTTCTTGGTTAAGATTTTAAAATCAGCAGTAATTATGAAGTAGCAAGGTAATTTAAAAAGGCTGCACTATGAGCACTTATGCAATCAAAAGAATGCTTATCGCAATAAATGCTCATAAATAAGACAATTAATTTATCAGTACTGTTTTAAAACATTTCACATTGGCATTCATACAAACTGAAAAAAGTTGGCAAAAAGCTCCACTGAAAAAAAGAATTAATTAAAAAAATAAAATTGTAGGACACAACCTAATAGTACACAAAATACGCAAGCAGGCAGACTATAGCCATTGCTACAGTTTTTTTAATGCAAAAAAAAAATACATTGTTCAGTTTTCAGGATGCACTTTATTATAATCATGTCATTGTAAGCAAATATTTATATCCTACATTTTAAACACTGTAGGATAAAGTATTTGATATTGTATGGAAAAATAACTGAATGCTCTGCAATACTTACAGTTGGTAGAGTAAACCCGTAGTACTTGGAGACATGGCAGTATTAATCTATGGTTCTGCAAATTCTGTTTCACCAAATTCAATGATATGTTTAAGGCTCCATTAATTCTGGCTTTAACTCCAAACTTTTTATCTGAAACAAAAATCAACAAAAAGTCTGAATTTGATTTTGATTTAGCCAAATGGGGGGAAAGGGGAATAATGTAAATATATTTAAGTTTGCTTAAAAAGGTAGAAAGATAAACTAGTGGTTCATCTTTTATCCCTTATCATTCTCCCCTTGTCCATTCCATCACTTCCTTAATTTAATTTTTCCATTCTGGTCAACATGATTACATTTACTAATTCTGAATATACTTAAATCCAACCTGAGAAGTTCAGCAATTTGAAGTCAGGTCTTCTCTACTTGGTTGGGCACTCAAAATCTGAGGTACCTGCATTAGTAGTCCCTTTAAAATTCAGATCTTTAGTATCTGCATCTCTGTTTACTCATAATGATAATGAAAGCAATTATCTAGTATTTGTCCTGAAAAACTATTCTAAAAAAGTCAGTTATACTAGTTGAAGAATATTAAGTGGGCAAAATATCAACAGTTAAAATGCTGATTTACCTCTACTGTGATTACCTTTTGGACCAATTTTTGCAAGAAGGGAATGAAGTTGCACCATTAATTCCTCATTTGGTGGAGAGTCTTTGCTGGCACCCAAAAGCAACTGCAACAAGGTCTGTGTCCCCCCTTTAGAAACTAAAATGCAAGCTCTGCGACCACCACCTTGAAATTAAGAAAAATAAAAATATAAAAATATTCAAAGAATATTAAGGTATTCAAGGTCAGATACTCTTTGGAACAGAAGCTTTTTCATCATACCAGCTTGAAATTCCCAAGCACTTCATTGGCACTATACATTTAGTAAGGCAAATGATTCAACCAATTTTTATAAATATTATACATGAACTAGATTTTCATTATTTTTAATCTCAAAAAATAAAGTTGTATAAATCAGATGTCTTGGGTATACTTTCATTTGAGGCACTAATCTATAGAAAATATAGGCACACTATCAAATTGCCACTTGATGAAAACTTACCAACAGATACTAACTCAATGAGAATACTTAATATGTTTAGAGTAGTCTGAAGATCTCTGGTATTCTGAAATGAAATAATATTCTGTAAGTTTCAGTTTCAAATACTTCATACTACACACATATTTATCTCTGTTGCATTTGTGAAGCTAATTTTTTTCCTCATAGAACTAAAATTGGGCTATGTTTTCATGCTTGCTCTCTACACCTCCTCATGGCCTTTGAAAGTCATTATTTTCTGCCTAAAGAAAGCGGGTGTGATTTTCTACTACCCAACCATACCAGGTTTTGAAACACAAAGCCATTGTGCCCCCATACACATCTTCTTTTACTCTGAAGATCCTACTTATAAAGATTTTGCTTTAACAAGAACTTCAGATACACTACAGATATTTGAGTCACATGCATCGTTTTAATATCAAGAGAATAATAAGTGGCAATTGAAATTGGAACTGAGATATATGTCAATCAAATCACTTAAATAAGCTTTTAGATCTTGATTTAACAAGGTATCTAAATAATATTCCTGTCTGCCAGTTCTTAAACAGTTTCTTTGAATTTTTCAAGTTTGTCATGTTCTTAAGCACTATTAAAGTAGGACTTCTAAAGGTACTTCTCAAAACAGAACTTGCATATTATGGAGGTAGGTGGGCTGGGAAAGAAAGCCATACATAATCATTTAAAGCCCAATATTTATACTCTGCATTATATAACTCACACACAAATAAAGGGCATCACCTCTAAAGTGGAGAGGATAACTTCTACTCCTGTGGAACCTTTGGCAGTCATTTCCTTCCTGGTTTTTTCTGAAAGTAGAAAGACCATTTTTCTTTTAATGGCTTTGTATTACAGGCATTTGGTCAGTTTTCTGTGTAGAAAATGGATACCACATTTAGGAAGTCTACGCTATATATATAAAAAAAGAAACCCAAAAAGAAGGGGTGAGTTGAAGTGATAAAAATATATTAACATTTAGAGCGAGCAAACTGATTTAGATGTGAAAGTTAGATTATGTTTTTAACTTATTCTATGATACAAAATTAAAAGAGCTTCTGTGTTCTAAATTTAGAAATGTTTTCAGCTTTCATACATCGCTCCAGGACCCTGTTTTAACCTGGGCTAACCAACTTGGTGTGGTGTATGAATGACAACCACAGTGTGACCTTCATTTAGGCTGGTAATCCTAAGTGATACTTTGCAGCAAGGATGCAGGTATCATTTAAATGCTGACAGTCCTCCAAAGTCATCTTACAATTTTCCTCCAGTATCCAAAAGGACATACAAGTATGTCCAATTGGATGTACCACTAACAAGTGCAGCACCAGTGAGGACAGAGGAATTGAAGTCTGATTTTGCAGGGTATCTACACATACCCAAAGCAGGTTAACCTGGGTGCTCAAATCCAAGTTCTGATAACAAGGGTTAGACTGCATTATCCCTAGGAAGCTAATGATGCAAAGCTATCCAAGTGAACCTCCTGACAAAGTGTAACAATACTTCCACGAACTGTGCCACCCAAAGAGGAGGAGAAGCCAGGCTTCATGGTATGCTCTGGCCACAGCAGCTGCCACCTCCCATGGACGACAGACAGGCCTCGGGTACTGCCAGGGGGCACAGGGGGCTTCAGGCCCTGATCCCTGGTCCCATAGCCCTTGCAGCTGGGGCCCCCCAGGGGACCAGGGGTCAAGAGTATGAGGCACTGGCAGGCCTTGCAGGGGTGGCAGGACATGGGTTAGGAGTGAAGGGCACCAGTAGGGCTGGGGAGATTGGGGGCTGTGGGTTAGGAATGAAGGGCACCAGTAGGGCTGTGGAACAGGAGCGAGGGGCACCGGCTGGGGTGGGGGGGCTGTGGCTTGGGAGTGGGGGACAACAGCATGAGCAGGGGCAGGGCACCAGCATATCACGGCTGCTCGGCACCACAAAACAAGCGGGGGAGGAGGGAGCAATAGCTGGACCTCTGTCCTGGTGAGTGAAGGGGGCAGGGGGAACCCTGATTTTCCATGATTTAAAAATAAATAAATAAAAACTATATAGGTATCTAGAATGAAATGTTATTTTAATGATTGTGGCACTGGTAGGCTTCCAAATGGCTTTAAAATTGTAAATATAACAATAAAAGATTGTGTTCAACTGATATATATATATATAT